CGACAAAACACGTTGTTTAATCCTTTATAGGACAAAATTTTTTTAAAGGTGATGGCTCTAGTGTCTATTACAGGTTTACATAACATACTTAGATACATGATAAATGTGTGAAATATGAGAAACCTTATGATACTTATTATTACGATCATTGCTTGGCAAAAAGTCGACCATAATCCATTCAGGAAAAGTCATTCAGGTTTTGTGGTCAACATTTCAACCACTTGTCGAAATTTACTTTTTTATTAAAAAATTTATAAATAAAAATTTAAACTTTGCATTAATACAAAAAGTTGTTTATTTGCACCAATCTGGTGTATTTACAATCACACTTAAAAAATTACAAAAACGTCAATTTATGTTACATATTACAAGTAGATATTATATTTGCATTTCTTAAGGTTTCTGGCCTCTCGCATTGTTTATCTCTTTTTAATAACGTCAGAAGCGAGAAAATGCATGCTAAACATTTTTGCGAAATACAAATATATATTCATAAAGTAACACTTGCAAGTAACATTTGCGGTTAAACAAATTTATAAAATATTCCGTGCACTCCCCTTTTGCTCTAACAATCAATAATTTATTGTAAATTAATTTGAATAGAAATAGACAAAAAAATAGGTTAAGAAGATGAATTGTATGTCACGTTACTTTACGACAAATTATTGATTGTTAGAGCAAAAGGAGAGTGCACGGAATATCTTATAAATTTGTTTAATCGATTGCAAGTATTACTTTATGGATATATATTTTTATTTTAACGTATTTCGCAAGAATTTTTAGCATACATTTTCTCGCTTCTGATGTAATTAAAAAGAGATAAACAATGCGAGGGGCCAGGAGTCTTAAGCAGCACTTTTATGACAAATATTTGTATGGTTATGTGTAGACATATTTTTCACTACATATCATCTATATAATAAAATTACTGACAAAGTTTTGTGTTTCTAGTTGTTTTTGTTTTGTAAAACGATAGACTTTTTGGATCTTACGTGAAGTGGTTAAAATATTGACCACAAACTTATAAAGGGTTAAACAAGGAATCGATACTCTGCGTGGAAGCGCAGACGAGAAATATCCGATTCCGAATTTCCAGGTATTCGCACCGAATATCCTGCACTGCGTGAAGCCTGGCCAGGTGCGGTCGGAAGTTTCGGCGGAACGGGCCGAGGAGAGGATAGATGTGATAAACGTGGTGCGAGCGCTGCTCGAGCACACGTCGACGTTGTTCACGGTGCCAGCAGCGCTGCTGGACGAGGTGTATCTACACATGATGGACACCCATCCGGCCGAGCTGGATATGGTTCTGTCTCGTCGTGTCGAAGAGTGAGTGTCTACCCGTGCGTTGTTGTGCAAGATGAGGCAGTAACTATCACGTAAGCGCAGATGAAGAACTCC